ATGAGATAATGTATCTAAAACTTACATAACATGGGATCAAATGATACATTTTTTTTGTTATTGTCCATAAAACAATCAAAGCAGAACAGGAAAAAGCTGTTTGGATCAAAAATTGTAACTGATAACATTACAGAGAGCTTTCCATATGCTAGGGATACATGCATTGTTATTCCTGTTTTACAGATGAGAAAACTGAGGGAGACAGATTAAAAAAAAACAAAAACAAAAAACAACTTGTTCACATTGATACATCTTGAACAAGGACTTTCCCAAAAGACTTTTGACTGGAATGAAATCCATCAAGTAATCTGGTCTACTTATTGTCTGTCTGGTGAATTCTGTGTCAGGGTTTCTCAACACTATCAGTTTGGACATTTTGAGCCAGATAATTCTTTGTTGTAGGAGGCTGTCCTGTCCTTGTACAATGTTCAGCAACATCCCTGGCCTCTATCCACTGAATGCCAGTAGCACCTTTACTCCCAAGTGTGATAACCAAAAATATCTGTGGGCATTGCCAAATGTCCCCAAGAGGATACCATCACCCTTCTTGAGTACCACTTCAGTAGATAAAACTGCCATTCTGTAAGTAGATAGAGTTTGGGCCTTTGTGTAAATGAGTTCATAGCACATCACACTGGACAGTTAATACAATCCCCGAATTTTGTGCCTGAACCTTGTTAAGTTATCAGACTTTGCAATCTGACCCGCTAGGATTTCCTGACTATTTAGTGCCTTCTCTTAGAAGAAAATGGAGTTCTCAGTAAATCATTATCAGAAAATGCAGGAAGACCTGAACTTTTTTTTTTTAAAAAGATTCTATGTATTTATTTGACAGAGAGAGACACAGCGAGAGAGGGAACACAAGCAGGGGGAGTGGGAGAGGGAGAAGCCGGCTTCCCCCTGAGCAGGGAGCCCGATGTGGGGCTCGATCCCAGGACCCCAGGATCATGACCTGAGCCAAAGGCAGATGCTTAATGACTGAGCCACCCAGGCACCCCAGGAGGGCCTGAACTTGGACTCCCACTTAAGAAATGGAGTTTTGCAGGTGGTTGTCTCCGTGGTGCATTCAGGATCCTCTGTCACTGTCATCAAAAGCTGGAACATGTCTTTGGGACACTTTCCTGGCCGGGTGCATCAGTAATGTTCCCAAGCTGTTGTGTACGGGAGGCCAATACACTCAATTCAAGGGAAGAGAACCCTCCAGAGAGCGGGAAGTAGGTCCCTGGGTCTCGGTAGGAGCTTTTGACCAAAGGAGTCAAAACTGTGACTTCTCTTGGGCTCCATTGTGGCAACATTTGCAAATGTTATTAAAACATATTTTCTGGGGTCTAGAGGAAGGTGAAAAATGAGACATGTGTCATAAAAATTGCCAGAGGGTAAACTAGGCCCTTGTTGGATTGATTCTGTTATGTAGGCACATCCTGTTGGACACTTGGTTTTTTAAACAAATACATGTAGCCCAAAAGCCTGGGATAGCTTATTCTCCATCATGGATTTGGTCCTTTGTAAAAGAAGAACTGTGGGAACTGAAAATAGAGGAAGCACATTTGGTGGACTACAGTGGTCTGCTTCCTGGGGAATGGGGGTCAGAGTAAGTGGGAAGCTAAAGGTGTGTGTCCCACCAACTATTTGCTGAAGAAAAGATTTTAATGCTAAAAAGGACTTGGTGGTAATGGTAGGACTTGCTGGGTGAGCTTGGGAATGGCTTCTCCTCTGAAACTCACTCTCCTCCCTTGTAACTTAAAGGAGTCTGACTAGACAATGTCTGATGTCCTGCTAATCAAAAGTTATCAGCAGTGGGGAGCCTGGGTGGCTCAGTCGGTCAAGTGTCCAACTCCTGGTTTTGGCTCAGGGTCATGAGACTGAGTCCCGCATCAGGCTCCCCACTCAGTATAGAATCTGCTTGAGATTCTCTCCCTCTGCCTCTCCCTCCCATGCTCTCTCTCTCTCCAAAATAAATAAATAAAATCTTAAAAAAATAAAGTTATTGTCCATGCTATGGCTAAAACCTGGGTTTCCTGACTATTTAGTGCCTTCTCTTAGAAGAAAATGGAGTTCTCAGTAAATCATCGTCAGAAAAGAAGTTTCAGCTCATACTTTTAAGGGTCTCATAGATTTGTTCTTGGATACCAATAATTCAAAGGAGGTGTCCTGAGTGCAAGTGAGATGGCTATCCACTGTAACTGAGATATTTTCATATCTCCTCCTGAATGCTTCAGAGGAAATACTTTGATATTCTTGGTGCTGAGGAGGGCTTCTTTTGTCAGGATAGTGGTGGTTCCCTGCCTTTTTGGAACTTATGGCTTGGTGATTAAGAAAATATTGGACAACAAACTCTAGGTTCCATGAACCGTCTGAGCCAGAGAATGCAATGATCAAGGGTAGAGAATATCTCATTTTCTTGAATTATAATTATTATTCTTTATTTTCTTTTCCTCTCTTCCCCAAAAAGTAAGTTAGAGATGAGAGGTGATATTAAACAGAAGAAACTGACATAGGTCTTGGAATAAACTAGGGGCACCTGGGTGGCTCATTTGGTTCAATGTCTGCCTTCAGCTCAGGTCATGATCCTGGGGTCCTGGGATCGAGCTCCGCGTCTCACTCCCCACTCAACGGGGATTCTGCTTCTTCCTCCCCCTCTGCCCTTCCCTCTGCCCCTCTCAAATAAATTAATAAAATCTTTCTTAAAAATGTAAAAAAAAAAAAGTCCTTGAATAAACTGTATTTAAATGCAATACTACCATGACTCCTGCTATCTGTATAACCCTGATCCTCACTTTTCTCATTTGCAAAATAGGAACAGCATTTTGCTGGGGCTATTGTGAGAACCAAAGGATGCCTCTGGCCTGTAAAATGTGTACTAAACCAATAGTCTCAGAACCATGGGACAAATGAAAAGTCAATAGCAAAAGGGTCACTAACCGTTTTAGGCAGGAGAGACGTTCACAAATATTGGAGAATATTGGGTTCATGTAATTTGCAAAACCCAGGCAATAGCTGTCTCCATAATGCCAAATACTTTAAAACTTAGAACTTTATGGAGAGCTAAATTTTAATGTTTCCTTGCAGATGTTTGGCATTGTACAAACATAACCAAAGAACAGTTGGAGTATTTGCTCTTATTATAACATATTCTTTGTAATTGGTCATTGCACATCTTCTAAATTCTCTCAGACAAGTGGGATAATGATGACCAAAAGCACCTGAAGCTATTCTGTTTTCCATGGACAGTTTTAGATCTGGCACAGATCTGGGAGGTATGAGAAATATAAAATCTAACCCTGAACATTTCCAGGACTCCATTTTAACATTCACTCATTCAAAAACAATTTATTGAATTCCTGCTATATGCCAAAAACAGTGCCAGCACTAGAGAAAGCCTAGTCCTTGCCCTTAGAAGGATAATTGTCTAATGGACAGAGCTATTAATTAAGTAATCAAACAAGCAAGCACAAGAGTCCAGCTATGATAAAGTCTTTTATCAAGAAAGCCATGGTGCTGTGAGCACACATCATAAGGACTGGACTTCCTGATGGCTTCTCTGAGAAAACAGGATTCATATCTGGGAGAAGATAAAAGAAAATTGAGTCAGGTGGGAACGAAGAAGATTCCAGGCAGATGAATGTATTCAGACCCTGTGTTATGGGTGAGTATAGGAAGCATATAAAACTGAAGGAAGTCTCTGTGGCTAAAGAGGCTCAGTGACAGGAAGACTGTGGCAGTGAGTCTGGACAGTAGGTGACAGTAGGTGGTGGCTGGTGTAATTCAATCACATAGGATTGTTTCAGCTTTAGTAGGAGCCAAATCCTCCCCATTACCCTAAGGGCAATGGGAAGACACTGATGATGGTTTTAAGGCAGAGGAGATAATTGATCAGAGTTATGCTGCTTGGAAAGGCTGCTCTGGCTAGTTGGTGAAGAAAAGATTTTGGATGGAGGCGAGTAGAGAGCATGCAGGGAACCAGTTAGAATCTACTGACATTTACGTGGAAGAGAATCATAGCTCAGAATGCTGTTTTGTTTGAGATCGAGAAGGAAAATGCAAATATAGGAGAGACACAGGAGATGTGAAATCCACAGGACGTGGTGTGGACTGACCATGACTGTGGGCTAAGTCAGAGAGGCTTCTGGTTATGCAGCCAGATCTAGAGTGGACCCTCTGTTGCCACAAGGATATGAGATAAGGAACAGGCTCAAGAGTATTAGAAAACCATAAATTATGTTTTAGACATATTAAGTTTAAGAAGTGTTTGGGATATTGAAGAGGAGATATTCAAAAGGATTCTGGAGGGGCGCCTGGCTGTCTCAGCTGGTGTAGTGTATGGCTCTCAATCTCGGGGTTCTGAATTCAAGCCCCATGTTGGGTGTAGAGATTACTTTAAAAAAATAAAATAAAATCATAAGAATTCTGGAGATGAGCCCAAACCAAAGTAAAGGTTTCTCCCGTATCACTACACTGGAGAAAGTGAACCGTGGTACCTGTAGGAGGCATGTGGATGAGAGATGGGTATTGGTTTCTAGCCAGCCAGCTCTACCTCCAAGGATAAGCAAGGAGCCGGGTGCTGAGCCTCATGAAGAGGCTTGGATGGTCTAGGCATTTTCTGGGACAACTACTCCCATTTCTTGTGTCATTCCTCCTGCTTTCTTTTAGATTCACAATTCTAGCGGCCTGTTCCCTGAGACTGTGTGTGCCTGGGGCACCAGGGGGAGGGCGGTGTGCAAGGAGAACCAGGAAGACCGTCCCACTTTGCTCCAGAAAGGATGCCTCTGATTCAAAAGGTGTCCTTGCCATTCAGAACTCATAATCAAACACAGGGCTCTTTGAGGGTGAGAGTGAAGTAAGATATAAGTGGCCTGCTGAAAGGAACATGTGCGGAAGAGGGAGTCTAGAAAAGGTTATTTTTCCTTCCCTATATAGGAAATTACTTTATCCTGATTCGAGGAGAAAGAACAAACCGAAAAGCACTATTTGAGAGTGACATTTTTTATTGAAGTTACGAAACCTACATCTCATCTAATAGATAAGCTCACTTCCCACTCGCTCACATTCTATTGTTATTTAACCATATTCACTCCCCCACCCATTTTGAGAAAAAAAAATTAAAGTGCATCGGTGTGATATCCTTCTCCCCACTGCCACCACCTGTTCTTTCCTTCATGGAAAATATAAACTGTCCCTTTTAGCAAGACTGAAGGGTCTTTATCTGTTATCTGTCACTGACACTTGAAAAGAAAGGTAGCTGGAAACGAAATATCTTATTTCAATCGCTCATAAAATTTCCCTCTTTCTGTTTGATAAGCATTCACTTTGTTTTACTTGAAGTAATACTTCACATGAACAGGGAGAAAATGCTGAAGCAAAGGAGAAATTCTTCTATTAAAGGGTTTGCATGATACTTGAGATTGGCTTGCTTAACATCTTTTCCATCCTCCTCGGGTGTGTTTTCCAGGCTCAGAGGCTGCAAAGCTGGGTTCCAGATGTGATTTAAGTTCTGCCAATTGGGTGCAGTGATTGGCAGCGAAACTGAATTCCCAATGGAATTAAGTACGGAGAGAGGCGGCAGGATGCAAGACACTCGTTCCGCTTGTGCAATAGAGTAGACCCAGCATCGCTCTGGGTCTAGAAGTAGTTACTTGTCTTGTGACACCGTTATCCCGAAGGCAGGCATCATTTCCAACTCTCAACTCCTGCCTGGACTAGAGCTTGACATCTTGACAAGCCAGTCTGCGGTTTTATCCCAGAAGTCAAGGCTGGAGGCACAGCTGTTCCGGTCCTTTCAGGAATTTGGAAAATACCTTGAAGTACCTTATTCTCTGTGGAGTAGAGCATAGTCGTTTGGCAGGTACACTCTAGGACCAGAATAGTTGGGTTGTAATCCCAGCTCAGCTAATCAGTAACTGTGTTACTTCGGGCAACTCTCTAAACTTCAGGGTTTCATCTGAAAAAATGGGGAAGTCACTTACTGCCAGGGCTGCTGTGAGGACTGAATCAGTGGGTATACACAACACACTCAGAGCAGAGCCCCGGGACACAGGAGGTGCTCAATACATCTTAGTTGTTACCTCGATCAAGTCCTTTACTACTTACAATAATGAAAGAGTTTCCTTCTTCCTGCGTCTGAATTCTCACTGATGATACAAAGTGCATTCAAGTTTGTCATCAGTTGTGCAACTCTGGATGAATTGCATTTGTAGTTACAAGGTTCACAGTCTCAAAGATGAACTGATTTTGATGGCCAACTAACTGCACTTGAATACTTGCAAAATATATTTCTCCAAGCCCTGAAATATACAAGAAATATTAAGGAAATAAGTGGTGAGAATAAAAGGGTAAATGCAGTATTTTGTAGGATAGTAAGGAAAGAAAATGAGTTTTTTTCCTCATATATTTGATCTTTTAAATAGATACCCTCAATTTCATGAAATCCACATGGAAGTTATGATTTACACTTCAGCACCTACAATTGGAAACAATATTCTGAAGTGCCACCATTTCTCCCCTTTGTAAAATATTTATTCATTTCTACTTGGTACATGCTGCCAGTTGCAGGAAGCATTTAGAAGCAAAAGAAGGGAGTTTATGTAAAGTTGCACCTAAAGATTATTCTGGGTCATTAAGAACTAGAGTAAGAACAATAGACAAGCAGCTGAAGGGACTTTCCTCTCCCTTTTGAGAGGTGACTTGTGCTCGATCAAGATCAGATAAAAAGGAAAAGAGTGAACAATATTAATAACAGTGCGTGCTGTCTACTATAGGCTTACCATTGGCCAGGCCCTGTCCTCTGAACACAAACAAGATTCCTGTGAGGCAGTATTATCATTATTATCCCCACTTTACAGATGAGGAAACCAAAGCACAGAGTCCCACAGTTACAAGGGACACAGAGTCAGGGCTGAACACAGGACATATGCAGTACCAAAGTCCACACATTTAATCTCTGCATCTTACTGCCTTGTATTATTAGAGTAGCCTTGCCATTTATTTTTTTTAAAAGATTTTATTTATTTATTTCAGAGAGAGAGAGTGAGAGAGAGAGCACGAGCAGGGGGAGAGGGTTCAGGGGGAGAGACAGAAGCAGACTCTCCGCTGAGCAGGGAAGACCGAGATAATGGGCTCAATCCCAGGACCCTGAGATCATGACCTGAGCCGAAGTCAGACACTTAAGACAGATGTTTAACCCACTGAGGCACCGAGGCGCCCCACCAGTTTTTCATCTTTAAATCTAAGATAGAGTTCCCAATATATAGGGACCCATGCTCATCCCATGCAGGGCAAAGAGAAGGGACAGTCTGGAGATTAGGGGTAGGCAGCCACAAATCTCTTTTTAAACACAGCAGAAGCCAATTTCCTTGTTTAATTGTGTGTGAGTTGTAGCAGTTTATAAACTATGACGTATTCAGCCATCCATACACAGGTAAACTGCTCAGAGTGAAGAGTGAAATTACATCTGTCTTCTCACAAGTCATGTGTCTTCTGAAATGCTTTTCAAACTAATTACTGTAGGTAGAGACAAAAGAGCTTGAGTTTCTCAGGGTCTGATCTTCATATTTCCAACACATGAAAACATCCTGACATCATTGTTAGGTATTGATGCTTATTACCAGAGAAGAGCCTATAATTTTTCATCATTTGGCAAGTGTTCAGGTATTGCTAACCTTCAAGTTTTAGAAACTAAGCAGGTATTTTCTCATGAAAATATATATGTTTATTATTATGAAATGGAATGAAACTTCTATTAGCATGTTGGGCTGCATTTATATAATCTTAATTATTTCTCTTTTCTTCCCTATCCAGTGGAGACCTTAATTAGGTACTATGAAAAATATTTTTGAAATTCTCATTTTGCTTTTCAGTAGTAGATAAAGGCCCTCTTTGAAATCACACACACACACAGAGCCATCATACCTTATGAAGGGGATATATTTCAGAAAATATCGTTATATAAACTTCAAAATAATACAAAACAAATTCTTATAATGGTCATTTGCTCTGCATATTTATCTGAATCACTTGGTGTATCAATTTTAAATTACATAAATGTTCATACTTTTTTCAAGATATACCAATAAAATGAAGCTCTATTAATATCTACATTGCCTTATTGAAAACATTTTATATCAAATTCATATCAAATATGGAAACAAAAAACAAAAGAAGAACTGCATTTGCTTTTCCAATGCCATATGCATATCTATATTAAAGCCTATGTGTAGAAACCAGCCTATTTATCAGCAAATAGATCAGTCAGCAGTTGGGTCAAATGATGTGGGTCCAATATGAAAGTACAGAAAGTACGCTTCAAAAACAACTTAAATATGTATATGCTCTGATGGAAGTCTGTCCACTAGTGATTCAGACAGAGGGACACCTGAGCAATTTAGGCTTTAATCTTGTGGCCGGGATTGAGTTGGAACTGGTTGGAGCAGAGTTTGTTTATCCGAAGTATCTGAAGTCAGAGCTGGTAAGTCTCCTAGTTCTGAATAGCTTTAAATGCCTATTCCCATTTGGACAGGGTTGATAAGCCTATCTGCAGATAATTAGTCCTCTCATATGAATTGCTGCATGCACATTGGTTGGACCAAGCCATGTTTTGAAAAAACCTCCTCCGCAATAGTATCTATATTTGGATTTCAGGCTTGTGAGCTTTCCTTCTTTCTTGAGTGTTTGAGGTAAATGTATACATTGGCAAATGTGACTGTTGGCCTATCAACTAGGAGATTAACGAGGGACAACTGAACAATAGATCAAAAGCGAGTTACACTGCTCTGTGTTCCTAGGGAAGGATGGATAGGTCAGGTCACAGTGAGACAACCTAGGTTTCAGGCTGTTTCATTCAGGGAGAAGAATGGGGAAGAAGAACAGGATGGTAGGAAGGTAGCCAGCTAGCAGAAACCTACCGGAGCATGGGAAAGCAGTATGAGGGAGATAGCTGAGACAATTTTGAAGAAAGAAGTGAAAGGGATAAAACTTTTGTAGGGAGAACCAAAGAGAATTACAGAATCCAGAATGGGGGTGTTGGGGGTCAGGTTAATCTTCATGAACCCTGGGGCGCCTGGGTGGCTCAGTTGGTTAAGTGGCTGCCTTCAGCTCAGGTCATGATCCCGGGGTCCTGGGATCGAGCCCCACGTCCGGCTCCCTGCTCAGTGGGGAGCCTGCTTCTCCCTCTCCTTCTGCCTGCCATTCTGCCTACTTGTGCTCTCTCTCTATCTCTCTGTCAAATAAATAAATGAAATATTTAAAAAATTTTTTAAAAATCTTCATGAACCCTTTTAGTGGTTTTTCAGAACAATAGTAGTTGTTCTTACTGTTAAGAGTTGGGGATTTTTCTTTTTTGGCTGAATCTTTTTGTTTTGTTTTGTTTTGCTCTCTTCCTCCCCACTGATAATACTCAACTGATATTCAGAAACCCCAGTATGTCTGCATCTGTAATCTAATAATTTGCAAAAATTGACTCAAGTCACCAGATTAGAACAGTTAGTTTGAGATTTAGTTTTCAGTTACTCAATTTATCAATATTAAAGCCAGGGTCAACTCCATGGATACGCAAGCTATGCAATTTTCACCAGACCCCACACTCAGAAGGTCCCTCCTTGAGGTTTAGTGCTCTGGGGACACCATCTTGGAATTCTTAATAATTCTCTTTGAATTGGAGTTTTGTAGGTCAAGTCGGACAGGACACTGGCGTATGAGCCAGGGGCCTGCAGCCTCAGCACCCAAGCAAACCTCTTCCCTCGGCCTCCATCTCTGCCTTCCTGCCTCCCCAGGATATGTTCTTAGCCGCCTGCTCCCCTCCTTCCCTCAGCAATCACTGCCAACCTCCACCTCCTGAGTGTCAGTGCAGCAAGGGGTGGGGTCAGGGGCACATGCTCTGTGTGCTGAGTAGTAGGGTGGGGGCCTGAGGGCCTGTGAGGGTCTGACTCACCCTCAAATGTCCCTGTGCCCAAGGGACCATGTGCTTACATAGAAAATTAAACCACCATCAGAAAGAGATAGACAATGGCTACAAAGGACATGGAGAAACCTTTGTCCTGCTTTTTGAACAAGGGGTCCACATTTTCATTTTGAACTGGGCCCCACAAATTATGTAGCTGCTTCTGATTAAAGATTCCTTTTTTTTTTTCAACGAGGAAAAAAGTGATTAGTCCAGTGCTATTCAAACATTGTTTAAAGGACAGGACTCATTTTTCAAGGAAACACTATGGGAATCAGCCATACTTAAAAGAGATCAGAGCGAAGCTGTCTTTTCCTGCTCTCGTATGAAGTGCAAGGCTCCTTGGATTCTGTTTCCTCACTCCCCCTCCTCCCACAGGACACCGCCACCCAGTCGTGCGATCCTACAGCTCCAAAACAGACCATCTGAAAGCCAGCCAGCTATCCCATACTCTTCATTGACAGAGGTGGAAACCCAGGCCCAGAAATTAATTAGCTTCTCCAGATTCACAAAATGTTTCATGGTCGAATCTTGGTTAGTATCCAGATTACTTGATATCCAGTCCCATACTTTTCTTCCTTTGTTGCCTCCCCTCAGATACTTCCTTGCCGTTTTTGGAGGAGCAAGCCTGCCTTGATGATGTTTAAGGATGCCCAGGATGTCACCCACCACGAGCATGCTGGTTGTGGCTGATCACATGTACTAGGGGGGGTGTTCCATGCCCGGGACGCAAGTCCTACTCATTCACCTAAATGTCCTCTCTTCCTCACTTCTGCTTTTTCACTCTGTACTTCCTATATGCTAGGCACTGAGCTAAGAGCTTTCCTGAGAATACCACACTTAATTCCCATGGTACCTCTCTAAGTGGTCAGAATCTGTGCTCCTTATTTTATTTTATTTTATTTTTTTAAAGATTTTATTTATTTATTTGACAGAGAGAGACACAGCGAGAGAGGGAACACAAGCAGGGGGAGTGGGAGAGGGAGAAGCAGGCTTCCCGCTGAGCAGGGAGCCCAATGTGGGGCTCGATTCCAGGACCCTGGGATCATGACCTGAGCCAAAGGCAGACGCTTAACGACTGAGCCACCCAGGCGCCCCTCTTCAAATACATCTTTAAAAAAAATTAGCAGAGGTTTAGAGATATCATTAGCCAAATTTTAACCTATTTTACAGAGTGATTGTGCTTGACTTCTGTGCTTTAGTAAGTGGTCATTTGGGGTGCTTTGTTATTTTGGGGGTAAGTCTCTCAGCTTAATTAACACTGACAATTTTCTTCCCAGACACACAAAGAAATTTGACATTATTACATTGCAAGATAAATACTACTTACAATATAATATCTGTAGGCAA